GCTGCTGTCAGCATCTCTAGGGAGAGCCTCAGGGACCAGAAGGGGCAGGGGCATTGTCCAATGCCCACTCCCTTGCTGTCCTCACTCAGGTAAAAGCGACCCGTGACGTGGGTACCTCTTCTAGAGCACGTGGAGCCCAGGGCTCTCTGTAGAAAGAACGTTTCGTGCAGAAAAGCTTTGGCTCCCTCCAGGGCTCCCGTGGGTGGCCCGAGTGAGACCTCCCCAGGCACCCGTCTGTATGACTTTGCTAATGCTGCACCAGGGACACATCGCTGGTGAGCCCGGCTGGTGTTCGCTTGGGTTTCGGTCCAAGAACTGCCTGCTCCTCGTAAGTCAAACGTTTGCACTTCATGGCAGTTTAAAAGCAAGATTTATATGGTAACCAGATGTAGCTTGGCCTGGACAATGTGGGAATAAACCCAACAGGTGTCCTCCAAAAAGTCACATGTGTACATACATGCATGTGTGCATACACGTAAACTGGTTTCAGGTACACACCCTTAAGAGACAAATGTCCCAAGAGATTTTTATATTATCCACCCGAACCATTGGTCTGCTCCTCGGAGTTGTTACTTATTAACTGTACCCGTAACTGATAAACAATAACTAACCTGAGAAACTGCACTTTAAAGGCAAACATAAAATGTAAAGAGAAAGGTCGTCCTAGAAGACTAAATAGCACGGATACTATTTTCCGGAAATTGTGCCTGTGACACAGACATGCCTTTTCATATGACCGTTTGCTCCTCTGAAGGCAGAAAGCTTTAACTAGAAATTCTAATATTTGCCCCAAGTGTCCGTGAAGTCGGGGAGGATGATCTCTGCGTCAAGCCTCCGCCAGATCATTTGGCTCTGGTGGTGGTGCGTCCAAAGGGATCCTGTCTTTCCGACTCAGGGGAAGAGGGAGTGTTCAGGTTCAGAATTGCCAGTTGAACAGTCGGACGCTGCCAGCCCTGCGTCCACAGCAACCAGCTGCAGGTGCCCCTTATTGGGATCTGTGCAGACCTGTTTGAAAGTACGCTTGTGTCTTCCCAGTCTCGTGTTTCTTCAACTTCACTGCGTCGTCGGGGATTATCCTGTCCCCCAATTATCCGGAGGAATACGGCAACAACATGAACTGCGTTTGGTTGATCATCTCTGAACCCGGGAGCAGGATCCACCTCATTTTCAACGATTTTGACGTGGAGCCTCAGTTTGACTTCCTGGCGATCAAAGACGATGGGATTTCTGACCTAACAGTCCTCGGCACTTTCTCGGGCCACGAGGTGCCCTCCCAGCTGGCCAGCAGTGGGCACATCGTCCGCTTGGAATTTCAGTCTGACCACTCCACCACCGGCAGGGGGTTCAACATCACTTACACCAGTAAGCCTGCTGCCACCCGCCCCACCCCCACGTGTCCGGGCCCCCTGACCACACGTGTCCAGGCCGACTCTTCAGAGGCTTTACAGTGATACGTAGCATAGTGACAGGACTGAACTTCCCTCTCTTCCTTCCTTCTTTCCATCCCTGCATCCATCCATCCATCCACCCATGCATCATCCTCCATGCAAAAACTACTGTAGCAAACGGATTGAGCCATTTGGGGTCAGGAGCTGTGGGGATATACCAATACTTGGTATACTTAGTGAATTTTGGTTAGACACCTTTTTTCTTTCTTTTTTTTTGTCTCAGGGCCCTCATTTGCAAACCAGATTGTATTTAAGAACATCTACTTAAATGCGTTGTTAAGTGAATAAAGTAAGGTAACAATGTTAAATGTGAGTTATAAATCATAATTTGCTGGCTGCCTACTTCTCTTAGGCTCTGTGCTTAGGATTTGCCAGCAATTATTTCATTTAATATTACAGAAACTCTGGGATATAGGCTGGGCATTCCTTATCTGTGAATTAAGATATCTAATCAGATCATCAGAATATCTGCCAAAGGGCAGATAAAAAACACAAGAGCCAGGATTCTAACCCAGATGTGTCTGAACCAAAATCATTTCTAGCACCTGCCATATTTCTTGTTTTTCTTAGTGCACGCACAAAGTGCTTTCAAACTGTGCAATGTAGTGTAGACAATAGTTGTATATATTTATCCATGTCTTCGTTCTTTCTGTCTTACTAGATATCACTATCCTGTCTGCTTAATGCATTTATCTATCTGTAAGTGTTTAACTGAAATTCAGGACAATAAATCGCTTTATTAGTTAGCTTGTTTCTTCCTTTTTAAATATACCTACTTAATAGTCTAGTATTTTAATTCTATAATTATAGAATTTTTTTTTTTTTTTTTCCTTTTTAGCATTTGGTCAGAATGAGTGCCATGATCCTGGGATTCCCATAAATGGGCGACGTTTTGGGGACAGATTTCTACTTGGGAGTTCGGTTTCTTTCCACTGTGACGATGGCTTTGTCAAAACCCAGGGGTCGGAGTCTATCACCTGCACCCTGCAGGATGGAAATGTGGTCTGGAGCTCCACGGTCCCCCGCTGCGAAGGTACGGGTCTGCTCTCGTTCGCCAGTTATTTTCCTTTGAAATGTGATCTAACCTAACCAACAAGCGGACGCACAGCTGGGTTGGTTTCCCCGGGCTGATGTCACAGAGTACCGCACCCCTGGTGGCTTAACAAATAGCCATCTGGTGTCTCAGGGTCCTGGAGGCTGAAAGTCCCAGGGCACTGTCAGTAGGGCTGGTTCCTCTTCAGCTCTGAGGGAGAATCCGTTCCAGTTCTGTCCCAGTTTGGGGGGGCTGCTGGTGTCTCTGGAGTTCCTTGGCTGCCAGAAGCATCACCCCAGCTTTCTCCATGGAGAGCTCCTACGTTGCCAAATGTGTCCTCTTTCTGATGCCACCAGTCACATTGGATGAGCGCCATGCTAATAAGCCACCCTAGGTGATTATGTCTGCAAGGACCCTGTTTCCAAATAAGGTCACATCCTCAGGTGCTGGAATTGAAAATCGCAAATATAAACTGGGGGTGGGGGTGGGCATGATTCAGCCTGTGACAGCAGCACGGGTTTCAGTAGCCATGTTGTTTTGTGGCTCTGCATGCAGCTGATGCAAATACCGCATAACTACTTTTCTTCCTGACATTTCTACTCTGGTTAACCAGGAAGGAAAACTAGAGGGGGTCGGAAATGGGGAGGATAGCACCTCCAGTGTTTGGTCAGGTAAAAAATATTTACTCAGAATATGTACTCACACCCCATCAGAATGGCCCATACAAAATGAGCTAAGATAAGAAAAGCTGTTTTAAAAAAACTTAACTCCGGTAAATATCAGGAAATACATTTTAAGTAGACTTTTTTTAAAGAGCACTTTTAGGTTCACAGCAGAATTGAGTGGAAGCTGTGGGTATTTCCCATATACCTCCCACCCCACAAATGCACAGCTTTCCCAGTGATCAGCATCCCCACCAGGTGGTTCATTTGTTACAACCGATGACCCCACAGTGACACGTCACCGTGACCCAGAGTCCATGGTTACATCACGGTCGCTGTTGGTGGGGCACATTCTCTGGGTTTGGACGAATGTGTAATGACACGTATCCATCATTTTAGTGCCGTGAGGGTGGTCTCCGTACGCTAAAAATCCTGTGTCCCACCCCCTCACCCCTCCCCCAACTCCCAGCCCCTGCCAACCACTGATCTTGTTACTGTTTCTATAATGCTGCCTTTTCTAGAATGTCACACAGTCGCAGTCATGTATTATGTAGCCTTTTCAAATGGGCAAGAAATACAGATTTTAAAACAAAGGTAAAATTTGAAAACGTTAATAAGATGTATTGTTCATAAGGTTGGGAATAGCTGGCAGTTTCTGGCCATGCTGTTGAGGGGACAAGATTATGGCATCATGGTACAAATTTATACGAATGGTTGTACATTTTCATTTTACTTTTTGAGCTATATAAGTTGTATTTCTGGATCAAAATTGTAAGGACATAAACAACTCTGGAAAGATTTTTTTTTTCAAGAATGCTCTTTGCAGTATTAAATATAGCAACCAAACGTGCAAATAATTCAACTTTAAACAACAGAGAATCAGATAAATCATCACACGCTCATACACCGGGATGCGTGCATCGTTAACACAGATTGTACCGTCGAAGATGTTCATCATGTGATGTTCATCGTGGGAACGACCAGATGATACGACCACTTGTGTTATAATACGCCACCGTGAAGAACATATGAATATTTGCGCATGTCGTGATAATAATAGTTTTTAAAAGCCTAAAAAAAGAGTATACAACAAAATGTTGATCACAGGTACAGGTGAATTTTTCCACTGTTTATTTTTTAGTTTTTCAGTTACCATCGATCTCTAGGTGTTTATTTTACAATAAGCAAATTCAAAACATCCTGTGTGTCCAATACAGCCTACAGTTGTGAACCTGATCTGTCTTCCCTCGTAGCTTCAGGACCTTTTTCTCCTGTCTAGAATGATCGGCCTCACGTTAGCGTGCAGGCAGTGTAAGCAGAAGCAGAATGTCCTGCGAAAGGCGAACTGCCCAGCGGGCTGACCACGGTGGGGCGGTGGCTTGTGTCTCACAACCTCATCCCTCAGCCCCAGGCCAAGTTAGCGTCGTTAATCTAAGGGTCAGGACGCGGTGAAAGCTCCAGAAACACGTCCTCACGTTCATACTTTCATAAAGTGCTCAAGCAGTCTGGTGCGGCTGAGCACCGCTGGGGGTGGAAAACTGGTAAACTGTAGGGAGAGAGCACAGTAGTAGGATGCTCATTCTTGCCTAGTTTTATCATGTCTTCTAAGGGTATGGCTTTTTTAAAAAAATGTTTGTATTGTTTATTTTTGAGAGAGAGTGAGAACACATGGAGGGGGTGGGGGGGGGGTCAGAGAGAGAGGGAGAGAGTCCCAACCAGGTTTCACATTCAGAGACTGACTCAGAGCTCGAGTCCATGACCCTGGGATCCTGACTTGAGCTGATATCAAGACTTGGACACTCAACAGACTGAGCCACCCAGGAGCCCTGGAAAGAAGGGTTTTTTCGTTTGTTTTTGGTTTTAAGTCAGTACTCTCTAGTCTCTGTTGTCTTCTGGCCACGATTCCCACTGTCTTTGGAGGGCTTACCTGAAAAAGTCTGTGTGTAGATGTGTTACAAGGTGCAGGGCAAATGTGTTCCTCAGCACAGTCGGAGGAAGAAAGCGGCAGATGGTGTTTCAAATAAAGTCCGACGAAGGAGAAAGTATCACGTTAAATGTGAATGGACCATTCTTTTGTTATTTGGAAGAGACCTGCAGACTCAGCTGTGGGTTGTTAACACAGAAAACTCTTAAAGGACTAGTTGATGGTGAAAGATTTTTTTCTTTTTTTTTTAATTTACTTGTACTGAGAAACCCAATTCCTGAGTTCTGGTGACTCTCAGGGAGTGTGCATAGATACTCTGATAATCTAACTCACAAAATACCCCCAATCAATGTCCTTGCTGAAGAGAAATAGAAATGCTACTTCAGAATTGAGTGGATCTAGTTGGAAAAAAATCAAATGGAAAATAAAGGATTTAGTAACACAGGGGCGCCT